ATTTGAGATCCTCATTTCTGCTGAAATCACAAAATTGGTTATGTAAAGTTTTACTTCATTTGAAAGCCCAAGCGGCTTTCTGTTCCATAAGACTAATCAGATATGTTATGAGACAAACATAATGTAGTCTGTTTCTTAATTGTTAATGATAATCTCTTCCCCAACTCACACAGGCAAGCAAATCCTAATATCAGTATAGGACTGTAATTACAAAGATCTCTTGAGTCTTCTTCCTACATCCAACTTCCCCCCCCCCAAAAAAAACACACACACCATTCTACATGAATTCTGTAAAGGAATAAGCTTAGTTCCTTGATCTGTATCTAAATGAACATGCAAGCTTTGCAACAGTTATAGAAGAATGCATCCTGTTGTGCACTATATAGTGTCATTTTTTTTCATGTGGCACATACTCTCAGTTGTAATGCCTGTATTGTTACAGGCTTACCAGTTTATTTTTAGTTAAAGTGCTTCAGTTTATTCTATTGCTTTTCTGTGATGAATATATAGGAACTGGCTACAAAGGCACAGATTAATACTTACTTTGAAGAAAGGTTTTAATTATGTTTGCACTTTATATAAGCAGTATCTGCAAAAGCACTTTCTTTCACGTTGGGGGAAAGAGATGGAATATTTGTGCTGGCAATGTAAGAATAAAATTGTCATGTGATCTAAGCTTCTGTGAAAGAACAGATCTTTTGTACCTGATGTAGCATGTTCAGTATTTGTTTGCAGTAGATTTTAGAACAGAAGCATTTTAAAGGAATCTGTATTTCTGTTTTTGTTTTTTAATGATAAACATACAGCTCTGCCCTTGGTCTAGCTATCTCACTGGTGCATGTAAAACACCCTTCAGTAATCATCCAGTAGTAAGGTATGGTTTATTATCTCTTTATGTGTTGTTATTTTATAGTAATCATACCATACATTTAATTTCAGCTTCATTATTCCTCAGTACTTGAAACAAATTCTCCATCCAGTTAATCAAATGTCTTTTGTTTTGTTTTTTGTTCCATTGACTACTGGAATAGGTTGTTAGTCGTATAGGAAATAAAGGTTTCTCTCCCCCCCCCCCCCCTTGACTACTGAAGTGAGTTGCTAGCAGTACAGGGACATGCTTTGGCATGTCTGTTTGGTTTGCAATAAGATACATTTTTGTTCAAATCTGGCTGTCAAAATAGACTTATTGTATATACTTATGTATATACAACGGTGCTTATTATATATGTATATACAATAATAGTTACTAGACTCATGTATAAGTCTAGAAATTTTAGTCAATATTCCCGGCCTCAGGAATTCCCCCATTCTGCCTCCTCCCTCCTTGGATGTAGCTGCTTCCCTGCTTGCGTAATTCATATTTGTCTTGTAGTTTTGTTAAGTCAGAATCATAATTTTATTTATATTGTTTTAATTATGATGTTTTAAGATATTTTCAGTGTACTATTTTTTAAGGGGTGGGCGGGATTTGGGTTGTGTTTTATACATACTGTATGGAATTTTAATTGTTGTTAGCCGCCTCGATTGTTGACAGAGGAGCGGGGTTTAAATAAATTTTATTATTATCATTATTATCAAAAAATGGATCCAAAAAACCTGGGTCAGCTTATCCATGAGACAATGCAAGTACTGTACCTTACCTCTTATCAAAAAGGAACCATCCCCTTCTCTGAGCAGAGTGGCAAAAATAAGAGCTTACTCTGTTCCAGGAGAAACTAAAAGACCCATTTACCCCCTCTACTCTCTGCACTGTTGTTAATGGCATGGCTTCCAGGTGAGGATATGAACAACACCTATTCAATACAGAACAATACACAGTTTACATGGGATTAGAAGACAATAACCTTGAGTGCATTTCCTCCCACCCTGGAGCCATGCCATTAACAACAGAACAATACCTATTCAACACAGAACAACACACAGTTCACCTGGGAACCACTCCTCCCTACCCAGGGTCTCACAGTATATATAGACCCATTCTCTTCCATTCCAGTTTTCTCCGAAGATGCCAGCCACAGATGCTGGCGAAACGTCAGAAAGAAACTCTTCTAGAACATGGCCACACAGCCTGAAAAACCCACAAAAAACAATGGTAGAATGTTCCAGAATGCTCACCACATTTCCAACACATGTTGCTTCTGGCCTTTTTGAATGCCTGGGTGGGAAAATGCTAGCAGCTCTTTGCCACTTCCCCTCTAAAGAGCACTGGGAGAGTAGAGAGGTTTGGTGTTTGTTTTAGGTTGTCCTGTGATGGATTAAGCTGGATTCCAGCTATGGGAAATCAGGCTTTGAAAAGTTTGAATGAAACATTTGTGTATATTGGTCAGCTTTTCTGGGTTAAAATCAGGCAAAGTTACCACATTAAAGTTAATGGCTGTAATCACTTTTGCTTTGCTTTGCCTTTACATCCTTTTTGACATGTGTCTTATGAGCCTGTGCTTGGTTGCTTCCCCCACACGTTGCACAGCGTGATTTACCATAGTTCCATCTTCATCCATCCAGCATTATGAGTGAGCACAGTTAGGCCTACCAAAATACTATATGGCATCATTTTCATTTGCTTTGTCTTTTACATCCGTTGTTACATCCCTCTAAGTTTTACCCTCAACTTCTCCATAATTTGGCCCAAAAATATGCCCTCAACTTATGCACAAGGTCAATTTATACACGAGTATATATGGTAAGTCCCAATTTATGCTTCTTTGTTTGCCTTACCCTACATTTCTTCCAGCGCATTTTTGGAATTGTAACCAAATTGTATTTTTAACTCTTAACAAAGAAAAGTAGCATGGAACTGTGTCACTGAGACAATAGCCATGGTGGATGTGAAATTGAATACAAATAGAGTAATAATAATAATAATAATAATAATAATAATAATAATAATAATAAGTTTTATTTATATACCGCCCTGTGGCAAGCCAATCTGGGCAGTGTACAACAATAAAATAGTTACAGCTTAAAACAGTATGATTTCCTCCTCCTCCCCCGTAAAAAAATATTAAATTACATCACAAATTAAAACAATCCACAATTAAAACTCAACAAATTAAAATTAAAATACAATTAAATTACAATTAAAATACAAACCAACAGACCCCTGCGACTTCAGTTCTCACGGGGACTACAAAATATTCCTAAGAAGGGGAGGAGCCTCGATTCCGAGGCTGGGTAATTAGTCTGGAAAGGCCTGCCGGAAGAGATTCGTTTTGACAGCCCTCTGGGAGGTCCTCTGGGAGGTCGCCGCAAGCCTAGATTTTTGAGGCTGTAGCAGGTTCTTCCCAGAGGACCGGAGGGCGCGGGGAGGATTGTACGGGAAGAGGCAGTCTCTGAGATAGCTTGGACCTAAGCCATTTAGGGCTTTAAAGGTGATAACCAACACCTTGTACTGGGCCCGGAAACCAATAGGCAGCCATGGAGGGACCTCAAAACCGGAGTGATGTGGTTCCCTCTTAGATGTTCCCGAAAAAAGCCTGGCTGTCATATTTTGAACCAACTGTAGTTTCCGAACCAAGCACAAGGGTAGCCCCATGTAGAGCGCATTACAGAAATCTAGGTGTGAGGTTACCAGCACGTGCACAATGGTCTCGAGATCCCTTACTTCCAGAAAAGGGCGCAGCTGGCGTATCAGCCAGCGCTCTCACCATCGCATTAACCTGATTTGTCATCAGGAGCGACGAGTCAAGGAGCACCCCCAGGCTGCGAACACAGTCACTGGAGGAGAGTGTGACCCCATCCAGGATTGGAGGTTGCAACCCAATTCTTGGGTTCGGGACCACTACCGTGAGCACCTCCGTCTTGTCTGGATTCAGTTTCAGTCTGTTTTTCCTCATCCAGCCCATTACTGCCCGAAGATATTCATTGAGAGAGGAGATGCCATTGAAATTCGAGTAGAAACCTTAGGGTAGCTGGGTCTACTAGATTTCTATGCTGAAGAAAATGCAAAATGGAGACCTCTTTAAAATTGTTTCATATATGATTTTCCAGGTTTAAGAATGATGATGCAAATTATTCCTTGAACACAGATGATCCACTCATCTTCTGCTCCACTATTCATACCGATTACAAAATAGCTCAGGACTCAATGGGCTTCACTGAGGAGGAATTCAAGAGAATTGTAAGCTCATCTATGTGTTTTGAATTGGTGGTGCTTTTTCTTTTACAATAATTTATGTTTTGAGCCTTAGGCTGCATCCGCACTGCAGAAATAATCTGGAATGACATCTCTTTAACTGCCATGGCTCCATTCTGTGAGATTCTGGGAACTGGAATTTGTGTGGACCCGAGCTCTCTGACAGAGAAAGGTAAAGGTCTCACAAAACTACAGATACCAGAATTGACGAATAAAGTGATCTCAATCTGGATTATTTCTGTGCGGGTGCAGCCTAAATGAATTTGTTTGGAGGTAAGAGCTTCCAGAAAAATTATGTTTTAGGTCTTTAGTCAGTCATCCTTTCAAAGTCAACCTTCTCAAATTTCACCAGAACAGAATGCCCATGGAGGAATTTATCATACCAGGCCTACAACCACATATTCAGGCTGACCACCCCCATTTGGGTAATGTTGAATACCCTATATCTGCAGGGAGACAGAAATAGGACATGTTGGCATATGCCACTTGGTAAGATACGAGAGTTAATTAGTTTCCTCCATGATTAGAAGCCATTACAAAGATAGTGTTTTATAAATGGCCATCTGCATTTACTGTATATATTTGTATATATTTGCATCAAAAGCTGTGTTGGAAGCTGATGCACCTTATTGATATATTTACTCTGCCCCCACCCTTTTTAAAGTAACCAGGATGTGGAGTATTCCATTCAAGGAGTTACTGATGATGTAACAATCAACTCAACAGCATGCAATAATTTTCCATTGTTGGGGTTTTGCCTTCTTTTCCTCCTTAAAACGTTTAAAGCCAAGTTTCTGTTTATATGCCCATTCAGCACTTCTACATTATAAGAGCCGGGGTTTTTTAAATACAGTAATTTAAAGAGATTGCCAGCATTGTATAGTGGCATGAGTGTTGGACTACAACTCCAAAGACCAGGGTTTGAATCCCTGCTTGGCCATGGAAATCCACCGGCTGATCTTGAGCAAATCACACTAACTCAGCCTCAGAGGAAGGCAATGGCAAAAACCCCTTTGAACAAATCTTCCAAGAAAATCCTATGATAGCTTTGCTTTAGAGTTACAATAAATTGGAAATGACTTGAAGACACACAACAACAAATGTTAAAAATCAATTCTTGTGTATTCACTGGAAGAATCATGTTGATTTGGAATAGGGGAGTGTGGGTATAATGGTGTAAATAAACACTATTTGTCCTATATAAAGGAAACTTATGTGCACACAGAAAATAATTTTTAAAAATGGTACTGGCTCAATAAGGGGCCAGTGGACTTGTTGTTTCTTCTGGATTTGTAATTCAACAATTTCGTTTTACTCCTTTGGGAAATCTGAATCATCTTGCTGGATCACAAATAAATAAATGCTGAATCATCTTTTGGGCAACTAGTAAGCCAATGAGTTGCTATTTTAGAACTGTTTTGTACACTCTAAATTTAGAAGACAGGAGAAGGCCAGAGACCTATCCAATCTGGTCACACCAAATGGTTTGTGGCAATTGATCGAATGCAGCAAAAGCTAAGCGAATAGCAAGTCATTAGAGTTTAATGGGATTAACGTCCTTATCTATAGTAGCCTTAAGACCTATTGTTAAAATACTCATCTTTTTCCTTTGAAAAAGAAAGGGGAGGCTAAAAATACAGGCTAGGAAAAAGCACTGCCAGCTATTCATTACTTCCACCCAAATTTGATTTGCCATGCATACAAAGTCACTAGCAAAATCTCATATTTTTGCTGTGATATAGCCCACCCACCCCGCTCAAAGCTGCCAAAAAACCCTCTATGGTAGAGTCGCCTTAGGCTTGTTATAAATCACAAATGACTTGAAGGCACATGACAACAATAAACTTTACTTCTGTGTTCATTCTTTTTTCCCCCAGAATATAAATGCAGCCAAGTCCAGCTTCTTGCCAGAGAAGGAGAAGAAGGAACTTCTCTACAAGCTGTATGAAGCATATGATATGATAAAGAGCACAGAATTCTAATCTCTTTTCTGCGAACCAGCCATGTCTTCTTGTCCTGGCAATATTCATGTACATTGCAGACCTCTATTTTGCTTCTTGGAAGACAAAACCCAAACTTAGTATTATTATTGTGTTTATTATTATTATTATCCACAGAGTGGAGGCATTCACTAAATAAACAGAATAGTATTTCTGTGGTGTTTATGTCATTACCTATAGCACAGTTCTATTGATAGAACGTGGAACTTAAAGGTTAACCTTATTCAGTTTTTAATACTGAAGACAGTTGTTCTTCAGCAACCTGAAGTCTTGAAACCTGGATTGCTGCTTGTAATGATTACATTCACCTCCCTTTCCACTCTGGTGCATAGGTTTTCCAGGTTCTGATTACAAAAACACCTATTTTACCAGATGAGATAGTGGGACAAAAACACACCCACAGAAGCAAATAATTAAAAATAATTTTTGCAAGTAATTAAAAATGATTAATTCATCTGTGACCTTTCAGGGTGTTCCCTGTAATTGGTCTGCATTCTGTTTGCCCCCATATGTGAAAGAGAGAGTAATAAAATGACACATTTCTACTGAACATTATCAGAGTTGTGATCCTTTGGTGGACAATGTTAAATAGAAATTAGCATATCACTTCATTCCCATGTATTTGATCCTTAAAAGTGTAGACCATTTTGTCTTGTACATGATTCTACTTGGCTTTAGCATTACCTCATTTTTTTTGTTTGTTTGTTTGTTGGTAATATCAAATTCTGTACAATTTATATCTAAAAGTAATGGCTTCAGTCCAAAGATTGTTGTATACCCATGGAAGATAGAATTCTTCTCTGTGCTTTAAGAAGCTTGGGAAAGTGTATTTCTCTCGATATAATCCAGTGAATGTGGATTCTTCTCCAGGTACACACACAATTGCATTTCATTTGTGGATGTAGTTCCCAATGTAGCAAGGGATCCACACTTGAAATACCCTTTTTGCATGCTGCTCTCCCCTGCTGAATTGGAGTGAATTGCTGTATCCATACAAACTCCAACTTGCCTAAGATGTCTTAAACTGACTGCAAAGAACCAGCATTTTAAAACTATGCATTTAAACTGATTTTGCAGAGGAATCAAACTTTTAAACATACTTACTCCAGTATATTTGCTGACACAACTCCCCCACCCACCTGTAATATAGAAATAGTCCTGTTTCACTGGCAGTTTCGATTAAGCTAGACAAGAAAAAAGATTAACAGCAAGATAACATCTAATGGTGCTAGGTCAATGTGTGTTAACTGCTTAATCGTCTAATAAGCAAACTAGTAAGGCTGAATTACTAGAACTGAATTAGATGTTCCAATGAACAATTTTTCAGTGGAACAAGCTTGATTGAAATGCAAGTACTTTAAATACATTTTATATTATATAACATAGTTTAAATAACTTGGTAATATAAATAATATGCTAGTAGCATAGTTGTGTTTTGTGCAGCAACATTAAATAACCATATCAAAAAGCAAAATGATCCTGCAGAAATTAAAAGCCTAGGTGCCTCATTTTAACATAAATATGTAATGTTTCTTTTAGTGATTGTGGAATTTTATTTTGCACATTTAAAATACTAAAACTGACATCCCTAATTACTTTGAGACTAAAAACATGAATCTCGCAAAATGAATTATATCTACTCAAAAAATGAGTATAGTGACACTTCCATATTTAATCCCCCCAACATTTTTTAAACCTAAATCAGTTCAAAGAAAGATTTAGAATGTCTACTTCATTAATCTTAAGTTAATTTTTACTATTTTATATTTATTACCCCATTCTAATCACCCATCCATCCTACTGTTATATGTACAACACATAATCTTTTCTAATAACTCTTTTAAAATGTTTGTTTTATCATTAATTCCCACCACTAATTCAACTTGCCTTTAATATCTCTCTATTCCCTCATAGCTGCCATTTTTATTCTCAAAAATCTTTTCTGGAATCAAGCCATCTTTAGCACGCACACACACGCTTTTTTTTTTCCTTACCAAGGACCTCAGCAACTATTTTCAAGATTTCCTTATGAGGTGCAGCCATCAATACTTACTCCAATAGATACTTTAAATATTTTACACGAGTTTTTTCTTATATTCATTTTTTCTGCAGCCTCCTAGGCCTTTGAAAATTTGTTCCTGGGAGTTCAAGGACTGTCGGAAATAGTATGTGATATGCTGTGAAAAATAGCAGGTGTTAAGAAGGAATCGGTGAGAATACACCTACCTTGTATGTATGTGAACAGAGAAGCAAGACATGGTGTTAAATCCGGAGTTTTTTATTATAATTTTTCTAAATTCTAGAAGTGGGATTCACATTTTTATACCACTGGAGAAGCATCATACTATGTCTACTTTAATCCCCCCCCCCTTATTTTTAATTTTTGTTAAAATAGTCAGGTTCTTCCTCTTCCTTCTTTCATGCTTTAATCTTGAAAACATTTGCTAAGGTCCTATGGAAGCATTACTGTCTACACAGCTGCTGCAAACAATATCTTTTTAAAAACTTACTAGGATTATGATATTCTGTGTTTCTCTACTTACATGCGGCAGCCAACAACACAGAAGTGAAGGATTGGAAACAGGCTGTTGTGGCAATAACACACAGGTTAAATTCTTCTAGTTGTTGTCGAAGTTGAAGTGATGGATAAACCCTCAATTTCTATGTGTAGTCGTAGTTGTCCATTTTGCTTAGTTTGAATGAGATGCTGTCACCCGGGAAAATGGATTCACACAGTCTTTCCCTCCCTCCATCAGCAAGAGCTGATTATCCCTATACAGTCCATTTTCCCTATACAGTCATGGACTTGAAGTCCATTTTCACGGACTTCCCTATACAGTCCATTTTCACGGACTTCCCTATACAGTCCATTTTCCCTATACAGTCATGGACTTGAAGTCCATTTTCACGGACTTCAAATCCATGACCCTTGTCCATTTGCGGGTGGTGAACGGACAGGGACAAAATGGGGTGCGTGCCTGTGGTTCACATGTGCGCACCCTTGCAGGAGCGTGCCACCATTCAAGCCAATGGGGCTTGAATATCCCCAATTTTCTGTTTTCACCGGGGGTCCGGAACAGATCCCCCACGAGAACAGAGGGGCGACTGTACAATGTATTTACATTTGGGGATCTGATTAACCCATAGTTAATGTATTAAACTATATATGTGTATGTGCATGCTTACATGGCAACACCGTTAATTCATAGGATTTTCTTAGGAATGCTGACAGGCGGTTTTGCCAGTTCCTTCCTCTGAAATAAAGTAGCCCCTCCTAATTTGTGGGGGATCCATTCTGGCCCCCCTTGTGAAAATGGCAACTCGCACATATTTGAGTCTCATAGGAAATAATGTGGCGTGCACTTGTGGTGGATGTGTGCGGTGGCACGCAAGGTGCACCACCATTATATTAATAGCCACTTGACCCTCCCATAAAGAAAAAGACCGTGGATTCCAAATCAGCATAAAGGGAGGGATAACTGTATAACCTACAGCACTGAGTTAATATCTAATGTAAGTTGTTTGAATCATTAATTCAAATTGTGAAAGACTTGAGAAAATGAATGTGGCTCTAGCAGTACTGTGAATTCTTGAAACACTTAACTTGGAATAATCAAATTCACCAATATCACCTCAGAATGTGAAAATGTGACTCAAATTTCTAGTCTTGTGTATGTATGTGTGTACACATGCATGCTTTTCATGTGGCCATGTGAACCTAGTCATTTTTTTTTTTTTTACTGTAAAGCCAGGACAAAGAAGTATCGTTCACAATTTATTGTTAGACTACAGCTCCCAGCATTCCTCACCAAAGGTATTGGCTAGGATCGATGGAAGCTAGTCCAAGAAGAAGGGACCCTTGTTCTTTACTCATGTTCCAAATTTAGCTTAGATTATAAATTGCTATCTGTGTCTAGAGAAAGTACAATACATAATTAA